ACTTATCACTCACCTGTAGTTATGCTGTCGTTTGCTGTTGCATGTGAAAGTGCAACCTGCCAAACTGCAGCCTGAGAATAATACTGCAGCAACACAAACTCTAGGGAGCCAAAAATGTGCCATTTATATATATATATATATATATATATATATATATATATATATATATATATATATATATATATATATATATATATATATATATATATATATATATATAAATAAAAGATAAAATAATTTTAATTAATTAATTGAATCGATTTTTCGCCCAGGTCTAATTACTGCAAAGCTGCATTGCTTGACTCTAAAGTGAGTTTGGGTCCAAGATGCCTTTTGATTATCTGACAGGTTAAGTATGGCTCTGATCTTTACAGGAAATCCAAAGCAATGCTGCTGTTTTAGTGATGCCGTCCAAGCTAATCTCCAATATTCAATGCTAAATGCAGTTTAAAATGTAATACTTTTTTCTTCTAAATAAAAAAAATATTTATGTTTTCACAGAAACATCCGTCCAATACACAGCACATAAAGTTGGATCTTATCCTACTAAAAAGTGCGTAAGAAACCAAGGTTTGGTTTTAAACAGAGACCTAAAATCCAACAATTACAGTTGGTAATAAATCAGCCGACTGCCTTATTAAAGAAAGAATTAAACAAGTTTTCTGTTAAGACGTAAAACAATAGTTCATGCCTTGGCTGCTTTGAATCAGGACCAAAGACACACACACGCTCATCTTGCTATATGTAGTGAGGACCATGTGTTGACTCCCATTGATTTTCAGTTATTTGTAAACCCTTTTCCAACCCTAAGATAACCCTAAACCATACCAGAGCACACCTCACCCTAACCCAACTGACACCTTAGCCCTACTCTTATCTGTTAGCGGACCAGCAAAATGTCCTCACTCAAAAGGTTAAAAACTGAAGCTGGTCCCCACTTTTATTATAAAACAGGAGCAAGAAATGATACAAATAGCAAAAACAACAAGTTACACAATGCAGGAAACCACCTCCAAGTTAATGCTCGTCTCCCTCTAGTGGTCGGGAGAATTTGTTTTATGCGCAAATAGTTAGCAGTTTTTCTTTACTTGCAGTTGTTATGGCTACCTGAAGCATTTTTTTTATTTGCTTCTATTCTTTACAATCACTTATGTATATGGAAAGGGTTTTGGGTTTCTGCACTTTTTCTCTTTGCTGTTTTCTTTTTTTATCTTAGAGCAGAATTTTTCCTCATATGTATTTTGTGTGTTTGTAAAATTTTTGTATTTACTGTTGTTTACTGAATTTTCTACATATTAATGTCTTGGCAGCCCGTTTGCCCCCCCATGCCTCCACAAATAAGCCTTAAAGGAATAGTACACCCAAAACATGATTAGCCTTCATTTTCTACTCACCCCCATGCTGAACAACACCCTGGAGTACTTTTTTGATATCTCAAATGCATCTGGAGATCTGGGAGGCTTCTTGCTGTCTGCTGACATTCAAATAATGGAGGTCTATGGTGACCGAGACAGAAAGGTCCATAAAAGTCCACAAAAAACGTGTCAATATTCCTCCATACTGCTCGTCCAATGTATTCCAAGTGTCCTGAGTGGGTAGCATCCAGAATTTACTCGAAACGAAGTCATTTAGAATGTTTTTAGAGCATAAACAGTAGTGTATAGGATTTCCTGAAAGTGCGCACACGCGCGCTCACAACGCTACGGAAGCCGGCAGACCAAACCAGCGCATTCAGCTCGGCAAAGAAGTCATGCTCTTCCTCAACAGTGAAGTCCTCAGATATTTTTCTTTCGTTGTTTCTTTCTTTGCACAGGTAAACAGCACATTTCTTCTTCTACGCTTGCATTATTGGAAGAGCAGACGCTGAATGCGCACTTTTATCTGGTTTGATCTGCCGGCTTCCGTAGCGTCGTGAGCGCGCATGTGCGCGCTTTCAGGAAATCCTTTACACTACTGTTTATGCTCTAAAAACATTCTAAATGACTTCGTTTCGAGTACATTCTGGATGCTACCCACTCAGGACACTTGGAATACATTGGACGAGCAGTATGGAGGAATATTGACACCTGGCGATGTCCTGGCCACCCCACTGGCCACCCCACTCGCCAGTGTAAATGGTAGTAGCGTCAGTTTAGCGGTTTATCCCATTATGCAGAGCCAGCAACACTGCCGCTCTTCTAGACCTTCTCGCGCACCGTAGCTCACCAGCCGCTCCCCTCCCCCTCCCCCTCCCGCCCCCACTCCATCCCATCGAGCAGCAGTTGCGTTCTCCGACAGCTACAGTTTAGCGCGTGCCCGCCTTCAACAGTGATTAAAAGAACTCATAGAGAAAGCGAACAAGACTAACGGTAAGTAAATAAGTCAAATCGTTCGTTTGTAAAAGAAGAGGGGCATAAATGAACTGCATTAGCTCCTGTTACAGCGACTTTGAGTGTCTTTTTGACAGAGTTACGTAGCTAACGTTGTTAGCTTGTGCTTATGTATGGTTTGTCTATTTCCAGACAATGAAGAGAAAGTCCAGAGATATATCTTCTTATTTTAAGAAGAAAATAACAGTGGAAAGAGATAAAGAGATGACAGGGGATCAACAGAGAGCGAGTGAGAAGGAGGAGAAAGAGGAGGTGGATGGAGGGAAGCAACAGATAGAGCAGCATGACGAGGAAACAGAGTCAGCGATAGTAGACAGTGATGAGGAAAAACATCAGGCAGCAGAGCAGGAACAGTCAGCACCACTGATCAGTGAAACATGGCAGGACTCAGCAAAAGCAGGTGTTCCTGGACCGACAGGTGAAGTTATGACCATGTGGCCATAAAAATGAAATAAATGAAATTAGTGAATTGTCTAGAAAATAATATCCTCGAAAGAAATGTATGTTTTGTTTGTTTTTCCATTAAATCACAAATCAATAAGGACTCACTTAAAGTTTTTTTTAATTAATTTTGATTAATTAAAAAAAATGTTGATGGGTTAGTTTTAATTTTTCTGAATCAAAATGCCTGTAGGCCATTAATACAGCTATAATTATTCATTACGGTGGAGATTCTGGTATTATTATCATTTATTATTAGTGTCATCATTTTGATTTCAGAATAACAGACTTTTGCTCCTGTTTCATTGCAGATATCTCCCAGTCAAGAGCAGAACAGCCCAAGCAGCCACAGCTAAACATCTTCCCTAGAACCTGTCATGGGGACAGGAAAAGATGTTTTTCTAAAGAGTGGTACAGCAGATAAAAATGGCTCAAATATTCTCAGAGTACAGACTCTGTATATTTATATAATATATATAATATATATTTTTATATATTAAGAATAAGTTAACATATAAGTGTTTCTTGTAATCTTTTTTTTTGTATCCTTGTAATCATTATATGACCATTGTTCCCTGTTGGGAAATTCCTGTTACATAAATAAAGATATGATTTCTTATTTTTATCTGCCAGTATCTGCTTTTCCCCAGTATAATTTAGTTTTCAATAAATGAATAAAATTACACCTTATTCCTAATGTGATTAGATAATACAAAGCAATTATTGTTCAACTCAAAATGTTAACTGTACTGTTATTGGTCTATATCAGGGGCCGCAACCTTTACAGTCTAAAGAGCCATTTTGCCTTCAGTCCACTTGAATTAAACTTGTTCAGAGCCCCAAATGTTGCCTGGCCTTTTGAAAAAGGACAAGTTATATTTTAGATAAAGATCTGCTGCAGGAAATATGTTGTCATTGTTAAAGAAACGCCCTTTTATGTCTATTTTGAGGTTTAAAAAAAGATGATGGATGGGATGCTGACATTTGTGGATAAGGATGTAAAATAAATCATAGTTTCCAACATAATGGAAAAATATGGATTTAAAATTAAATATTACTGGCACTTTCACCATCATTCTGTTGTGAAAATTAATAGCAATTATTCCAAGAAAAAAACTGCTAAAACCTGTATTTATTATCATTATTACATTTAATTACCACAATAAAAATATAATGTGTAGCCAAAGTTATTAAGAGCCACTGTGGAAGGTCCAAAGAGCCACTTGCCACAGGTTGCAGACCCCTGGTCTATATCTATGCACATTAGATCATTAGTAACATTAAAAATCACACAATAACCCAAAATATATCAATAGGTGTTTATTTAAGTCTTAAAATCCTGAAAATATGGCCATTAGCTTCAGTGTGCCACCCCAAGAATTTAAGTGGCCCCATCTGGCCACCCCTATGAAAAATTTCTGGAGGCGCCACTGGTGAGTAGAAAATGAAGGCTAATCATGTTTTGGGTGTACTATTCCTTTAAACACGAGGAGAATACTTTTGAAATTTTGCATTGAAAGGTAAATAGATTGGGACATATAGCCTATTAAATAAGGCTAATTTCTTATTGCTTGCAAAACACCAAAAAAAACAAAAGCCGTGAGTGGATTTATTTGGCTCACCTGCTTCAAATTTAAGGATTTATCGTTCTGTTTTAAGAGGTTTGTGGTCATCGATGGGGTAAAATGTACAGTTTTATTCTAGAACTGGAATGGGTGCCTTACTATTCTATGAAGTCAACTTATTTTATATATTTTCATTCATACTAAGGATCAAATGATCATTTGGGAAGAAAATAGCCATCCTCTACAGTTGGCTCCAAGAAGTCGAATCAATATTTAAAGTCAGAAGGTCAGGACATTTAGGATGTGTTGGGAGCTGCAGTGCTTGTCTGGCTGACTTTATTAGGTGATCAAACCACGTATACTGCATCGCCACATATGTACAAACTATTTTTTCTTATTGCAAAGCTTAACATTAAGCCTTTGTAAATAAATGCTATAGATACCGGTGGGACAGGTCAATAAAACAATTGTAAAATATATTTGGCATAAGAAAGCCAATGTCCGCAGTATAATTAAACTCTATCTTACTGGCTGTCAAACAGAATCAGGATAACTATTAGAACAAAAAGAGAGAGAGAACAGGCATGACACAAACAATAAACGTCCTGGAAGACAGAGTGCCCACCTGTAGAAATAGGAGCAGCCTCTCACTGTGTTGTGTGTGAAGTGCTCCTGGCTCTTCTCGTTGCCAAAGTCCTCCAAAGGGTCGGACCACAGCAGATCGCACATCGGTCCGTATGCCGGGGGCTCTTTGAATCTGTCTAGCTGTGGAGGAAAAACACAAGTCTCCTGTGAAGGTTTCACTCGAAGAGCTTTGCTGGTAACTGCAGCTTAGCTCATAATTAAATCGCTGTTGAATCGCTATTAAACCATATACAGAGTGGAGGATGTGTCGAAGAAAAACTTAATCTTGCAGTTTAGAGATGGATGTGCTTTGGACAGGCTGGGAAGGGAAAAAAAAAAGAAAAAGAAAGAGCCAATCTTTTTATACGAGCATAAATGGCTTTGCTTTCAGGAAATGATGGCTCTTTTTTAAACAAAACCTTGTTCGTGACTGAACGGGGCCGCATGATGGACACTTTGCTGGAGCAAATTCTATTATGCATGCCTCTGATTGCAGCCACAAAATCCATTTGGATTTATTGAATTAGTCTGAGAGTAGGAACTTTTTCTTCCACAACAATGCTTTGTATCCTACTCTTGAACACTGCCCAAGACTGATCTTCACTTTATAAATAACAAGCAAGGTGGCTAACCCTTATTTATTTCAACACATATAATGCACTTGTAAAGCAACAGAGAAACACCTGCAGTTCAACTTACAGAACTTATATTTATAAAATAACTATGAGACAATGTTAAATCAGACATACTTTCCTGATGTCGTCAAGATTTGTGATTTCTGGAGACAGTCCTCCATGTACACACAGGAACTGCTGGTTCATTAGTGCAGCCAGGGGAAGGCAGTCAAAGGCGTCCATACATGCATCGTAAACCCTCTCTGAATACTTAATTTTACCTGTCAAAGAGGGGGGGAGGAGAGGGGGAACAGGGCAGGGACAAGAAAATAGCATGCCAAGTCAAACAAACTGGCTCTAACAGACTGGCGCAGTGTCCTTGTCTGGGATGGAAATTTTTGTTTTTATTTTTAATACTGCCAAAAAAACTGTCCGAAAACATTAGAAAAAACAGCACATTATGTCATTTTTCACAACGACAACGTCCAATAAAAGCAGCTCTGACGTGGGTAAACAACGAGAAAGGTAATCATCTGGCTTTGGTAGGAAGGAGGTTCTGTAACTGCTCAACTTTGACTTACGGGAATTGGAAGGAATAGTTCAGGTGGTGTGAAGCGGGATTCGCATGGTGCTTCTGAGTAGCTAGTATTTTACCAGGAGGTAGCAGTCAGAGTCAAATAATGAAAACTAAAGCTGCTGTACCGGTTCACAGAAATAATCTTTTACAGGAGCAAAATTAAATCACTCAAACATTTAGAAATAACAAAACCTTTTTGGCCTTCCTTGGCAAGTGCTCTTTGTCAACACTGTGCTTTATGCATAAGAGCAATTCTTTCATGTCTAATAATTCTTAAATACCTTATGTTCTCTTCTAGGGATGGGAATGGAAAACTGGTTCCTGTTCAGAACCGGTTCCGTGTGTTCCATTTCCATGGCACTGTTTGGCAACAGTTCCAGGCAGCACCAGAGCCTAGCGCTGGGCAGCACGACTTGCATCATGTTTTTCCCGCAATTCAGTAAGCAAGTATGACGTGACCAGGTGTTAGTATAGAAAAGCAAGGAAAAAAAAAAAAAAAAAAAGGCGTCTCATCGGGTAAAGCGATCAAAACATTGAAAAGATGGCAACAAGGCGCTTTGCAATTATTGCAAAGTGGCCATTACATCCGCGGGAGGAAATTTATCCAACATGCAGAAACACCTGCGCACACAACATGGCGTTCATTTTAACGAATGGTGTGTTTTTGATGCTTCCGGACAGAAGCTAAAGTTACGACCATCATGGAAGGCATCCCTGGTGGTAAGTAGCTAGTTTTATTTCACTGGCTGTGCTTAATGTGGTTCCTAGTAAATCATATGCCATTTCTGGAAATAAACCCATTTCCTACCTCTCTTTGGGGCTATTAAAATTGCTAAGAAGTTGCTCCGCAGTTCAGGGAGCGAGAGAAAGGTGAAATCAAGGGGAGATTAGTTTATTTCCCGAAATTGTACAGTAATGCTTTTTCAATAAACGGATGCCTTCTCCATTAGATTTAGATGACTGTAGCCTGGCTGGCTCAGAGGCTGGCAGCTCCCGTTCACTGTGTTCTGTTTTCGCCTGAGGCAGGCAGAAATAGAATGTCCCAGGCGAAGGAAGACAAATTTCACCGTGCACTTACCAAGTTCATTGTTTAATAGAATCGAAAACAGAATCGATAAGGAATCGAATAGTTTCACAGAATCGACAAGGAATCGAATCGTTTCACAGAATCGACAAGGAATCGAATCGTTTCACAGAATCGACAAGGAATCGAATCGTTTCACAGAATCGACAAGAAATCGAATCGTTTCACAGAATCGACAAGGAATCGAATCGTTTCACAGAATCGACAAGGAATCGAATCGTTTCACAGAATCGACAAGGAATCGAATCGTTTCACAGAATCGACAAGGAATCGAATCGTTTCACAGAATCGACAAGGAATCGAATCGTTTCACAAAATCGATAAGGAATCGAATCGTTTCACAGAATCGATAAGGAACCGATAAGGAATCGAATCGTTTCACAGAATCGACAAGGAATCGAATCGTTTCACAGAATCGACAAGGAATCGAATCGTTTCACAGAATCGATAAGGAATCGAATCGTTTCACAGAATCGACAAGGAATCGAATCGTTTCACAAAATCGACAAGGAATCGAATCGTTTCACAAAATCGATAAGGAATCGAATCGTTTCACAAAATCGATAAGGAATCGAATCGTTTCACAGAATCGATAAGGAATCGAATCGTTTCACAGAATCGATAAGGAATCGAATCCTTTCACAGAATCGATAAGGAATCGAATCCTTTCACAGAATCGATAAGGAATCGAATCGTTTCACAGAATCGATAAGGAACCAAATCATTTCACAGAATCGATAAGGAATCAAATCGTTTCACAGAATCGATAAGGAATCGAATCATTTCACAAAATCGATAAGGAATCGAATCGTTTCACAGAATCGATAAGGAATCGAATCGTGTCACAGAATCGATAAGGAATCATATCGTTTCACAGAATCGATAAGGAATCGAATCATTTCACAAAATCGATAAGGAATCGAATCGTTTCACAGAATCGATAAGGAACCAAATCATTTCACAGAATCGATAAGGAATCAAATCGTTTCACAGAATCGATAAGGAATCGAATCATTTCACAAAATCGATAAGGAATCGAATCGTTTCACAGAATCGATAAGGAATCGAATCGTGTCACAGAATCGATAAGGAATCGAATCGTTTCACAGAATCGATAAGGAATCGAATCGTTTCACAGAATCGATAAGGAATCGAATCGTTTCACAGAATCGATAAGGAATCGAATCGTTTCACAGAATCGATAAGGAATCGAATCGTTTCACAGAATCGATAAGGAATCGAATCATTTCACAGAATCGATAAGGATCGAATCATTTCACAGAATCGATAAGGAATCCAATCGTTTCACAGAATTGATAAGGAATCAAATCATTTCACAGAATCGATAAGGGAATTGGAATTGTGAAAATCTTATCAATTCCCAACCCTATTCCCTACTATAGAGCGCACTGGGTTATAAGGCGTACTGTCCATAACTGGTCTGTTTTAAATTTTTATTTTATTTTTTTTTTACATATGAGGCCCACAAGACTGTAAGTTGCAGGATATCTTCTTTGACAGTAATTTTGTTGCCATTGATCTATAGACTTCATACTGAATATGCAATGTGATGTGCCTATTTTTTACCATAAATGACAGTAATCAACTGATGCTTTGAAACAGCAAATGTGTGTTAAAATGATTACCTTATTTTTACTTTTATTTTAAAAGTGTTACTTCACCCTACAAATGAGAACATCATCGTTGTTCGATGCTGTAGCGCAAGTATCGTTTACATTCCGACCGGTCTAACTAGGGAGTATGGTGGCTGGTGACTTCACAGCACCATGTGCTACCAATAGCCTATCAGCAATCCAGGACCATGTTGCTAGCTGTTAGCCAGATCAGACCTATTGTCATTTCACTGTTGTCTACTGAAGATTACACACCGATTTCCAAAGACCACTTCCCAAAATGCCTCACATGGAAAAAATAAATAAATAAATAACTTTGAAAAACATTACTTACATTCCTGCTTAAATGTGAAATACTCTGTTAAATGCCGACATTCATGGTTCCCACGAAGCAAAAACAGTGTTTTGGGGTATAGGATCTTTAAAGCCCATAAGTAGAGCACACACTGAAAGAGAAGAGAAAAATTATTGAAAAAGTTAGATTTCCATATTTTCTAGAGCTAAAAGCAACACATATCATGTCAAAGTTTGTTAGTGTCATGCAAATGCTCCATGAAAGTAATTCTGCCTTTACTAAAACATTTATCAAGTGCTTTTATGGCACATTTCAGACACACTCCCCCCTCTCTCTCAGATTTTATATATACTCACATATATTAGTTAGAAGGTCCCATATTCTAAACATGTATTTTGCAGAGGATTAACATCCTATCTACATAAACCTCAGCTCCACTGTGACATTTTGGATTCAGACTACATTTGAAATGATCATAAAAGTATTTTATCACTGCAATATCTGCAGCCTGATTTTATCTATGCTCACAGAAAGCCATTAAGGAACCCAGCTTCTGTCAAGCACATGCAGAGCATCGCAGTCGACTAGGGCCGCACAGTAACAATAACAGACGCATGGACTCACTTCAATACTGAAATACCCTCTGTCTACGTAGTCTCCGAGGAAAAGATAGCGTGTGGATGCTGGTGATCCTCCAACTTCAAATAGCTTCATAAGGTCAAAGAACTGGCCATGGATGTCACCGCAAACTGGAAATATGTCAGAAAGAACAGTTTGTTAGTATAAAAGTTCCTTAATAGCTAAAAAAAACATTAACATTATGAGTATGTTGGAATATTATGATTTTCATGATGTGTTTGGAAGCAGTGGATGTAACACTGCGGCGGCTAAAAATCAAACAGAAAAGACTGCACGAGTCATGGGTTATTAAATAGAAAGAAGAAAGCAAACTTTATTTCAAGTGCGTATGGGAGCTGCAGTTCATTTTTTATGACCCCCAAAGTGCCAACTTAACAGGCTACATCCACATCTTTTTCTTCTACACTGCTGTACAAATCCCCTCATACTTTTATTTCAAGAAGCAGACGGTCTTGTGATTTTATAATTTGGTCCATTGAAGAAAGTTCTTTAAAATAAAGTTTTATTTTCAGAAAGTTGCAGAGTGCAGCCAGCATGAGATTTGCACAGTACAACAAACTTTGTATAGATTACCACTTATTTCAGTTATGATATTTTACACTAGCATGTCAGTGAATACTAGTATATGTTAGAGGTTAATCATTAAGCCAATATTTGCAAACAGATGCTATTCTATAGTATATGGTCTTAGCTGCTGTTAACCAATATATCAGTGTCACTAACCAATCCCATACCAGTAGCACGATCCGTGCCGTTATCTCATTTGTGCAACTTGATATACATCCGGGTCGCCATCAATATGACTTTATAAAAGAGATCAAAACTACTTTTCTGTCCGATAGAAGAGAATATAAAGATTACCAGTCTCAAATAAGTCATTAAATATTTGTACATGTAGTTAAGCATTGTTTTGTGATTTAAGGATAGAAATAAATACTTTTATTACCATACTTACACTATTTATGGTGACCTGGATGAATATCTGCTTGCATGTGTGCAAATGAGCTGATGGCTCGGACCGTACTTCCGGAACGGATCGGGTAGTGACACTGCCAACATGCCAGCGTTACCATGGAAGTAAATGCATGTTGGCTAATGTTAGCATACCCTGCAGCTATCCTAGATAGGGCTAGATACTATTAGCCTGAAAGTTAATAATAGCACATTAGCACATATGTGAACAACACCTTGTTTTAGCACAATATAAGAAATATTTGCCATTGATAGCATCATTCTAATTTCAGTCTGTCATTTCAAGCTTTGTAAACTGCTTATTATTACAATATATAATTACAGTAGCTGGCAGATATAAACAAGCAGAAAACTGCTTAACATGGTACAAAAGATGACACACTGAAAATGGCTGAAAACTGTTTAAAAACATAAATGATGCAAAAACCAAAACCAACCAATACAAGAAAAAGATAAAAGATGCAGCAAAAGAAAAAAATGTTGCAATCACATACAAATTACAAAGGGAAGTAAGACTAACAACAGGAAAGTGAATTACATACAGAAAAAAAGGATAGCGTTAGGAAATATGCCAAAAATCCCCTAAAACAAAAACTTCCTCCACATAAACAAAGCACCCCAAACCACCAGAGGGAGTTGCAGTCTTCTTTTCTGTTGCATTAGTTGTTTTTTTTTTACGGGTGGCTTGCCTTTTGGGGTCTGAATCATTCAGATGCTTTTAGCATGTTTTACCACTTTCTGAATGTTTGCATGGCCTGATTGCAAAAAAGCCAGTTTTACTGCGGTGTGTGGTAGTGTGCACCATGTGGTACCAACAAACTTTAGTCATATACTGTATAAAGTATAGTTAGTCGAAATGGAAACAAAATATATGTCCCTTTAATTAATTGATTTGCTCTAATATAATACATAACTTTAATGTGTTTAGGGCTGTCTTGATATGATACTGATATCGGAAATTGGTCCGATATCATTCAAAAACTGAAAATTGAATTATAATTGGCCTGCAACCAAAATCTCCAATAGAAGCACACTAACATATAAGCATTCCACTCCAGCATTTCTATCCAGCAGCACTTGTATCCTGGATACTACAGAGCCATGTGTTTAACCCAACACCCATTGATAGATCAGTCAGTCTCATACATTATAGACGATTGATATTGGTTTGAATAATATTGCTTGATCAAGCTTTTCATATTATATCGCTCGACAAACTAGGCCAGAAATGTCTGTATGATTCTTCATGCTAATATTGTATCAGGCCAACATCAAAGCTGCATTACGGTGGTATCAGAAATAAAGTTGTATCATCTAAATCTGAGAGTTGATTTTGTTTTTGAGGCAGCAGAACAGACGCCAGCTTTATTTCTTTTATAGCTTTCAACCTAAGCACTGAATACAAGCTGGGTTTGGCTCAGAGAGAGACGGCGGCCGATGTTGACGGCGAACTCTGTGACTATCAGGACTCCCAGTGCAATAGGAGCTGTTACATATAGTTAGTAGCAACATAGCAGGCAGCTCTTAAACGCCACCAGGGGAGCTTTCTGGGATGAAAACATCTGCGTCAGAAATGGCCCACCACTGGTGATTTACCCAAGTTTGCTATCCCGCTTGCAGATCCTATAGTCTATCACTCCCTGTGGAGGCGGGAGCATCTGAGGCCAGGGCAGATCTGCTGCCTACAGCAGCAGCGACTGTGTATGAAACTGTCTGATTATAAAGCCGGTTATACAGTTTTATAGTCACAATAAAAAGGTCATTGTAAGGGTAGGGTAGCCCTAAATTCACCTTAAAAAATTTGACCTTTATAGTCTAAGAAAAATGAAAATATTGGATAAAAAGTCCTCTGCAAAATATCAACACATTCATGTTTAAGTTCAGTTGTAATTAGCTTGAGGCAGCAATTTACATCATTAGAGAAAGCAAATACTGTTGTTTATGCATAAAAAATATAATATTAGCAAATTTTTACTTTAAGGCATGGCTACTACATCTGTTTGATAGCTGCAGCCTAATAAACATAAAAGGATGGCAGTTAAGCTCCTTCCAGTTTTTCAGATACCTGATTCTATTAAATCACTACCCACTTGTTCAGACATAAGAACTAAAGCAATAACAAACTACCTTCAGCACTGTCATAAACAGTCTTGCAACAGATGGTATGGCCCTATAAACTAATGAGGACAGAGTCCGTCTGGGATTGCGTGAAAAGGAGAAGGCACACCCTACATTTTCAGAAAAAAAAACTGCTGAAGTTCTTGGAACAGCCTGAGTAAAAGCAGTTATACTTAAGATAAGTTTTATATTTCAGAGCACAAAGCCTGAGCCCATGATGTCAGGCCTTCTTTCATTAACGTCTTTTAACTTTTGAATGCATGTAAATTGTTGCACTCATTTTCTGCAAACAAAATCCCCCCCAAAAAAGCTTCGAAGAGGCATCTGGAACAGATCGCCACACAGTGTAAGGAATAAAGGGAGATTAAAAGTTAGGATTCAACCTTTTTCTGCTACATATGCATACTGTGTGCTCCTGTGAAGTTTTTAGCTGTGAAAGGTGCTTTTATAAATACGGTTTCTTCACTTTATTCTTCTTACTGATGGTATAATAGGCTAACCTCAGCATACGTAATGTGAGCTTCTATTAACAAGGAAGTATTCACTGATTTATGACACATCTGCTTCCAATGCTGTGATTTGAACAAAGATGACTGAACTTTATTTTTCATACCTAGTATCCTCCTCTGGTTCATATTGTTAAGATTTCCTCTAGGACAAGTTTAATCCTCATATCTGTAGTATTCAACATTATTTTGGAGGATCACAGGGCAGGAGGACCGGTTAACCAAAGGCGTCTAATTTCTGTTATTACAGCATCACTGCAGACGCCCTAATATAATTATAGCAATGTTTGTGCTTCACAATCCTGACAAGCTGATCTCTAACTACTGATTCTCATTCTGCTACTACTGCTATTTTTTGCAGTTAAACAAGCTTTTACTGCAGACTGTTAATCCTGAATCTGTTTTTTTCTGCATTTCTGTTTCAGTTTTCCAATAATCCCCGTTAGAATTGACCCAAGATTACCAATTAGCTCTCAATTTTATCAGCAAATGAAGCATAAAATAAAACAAAGATTGTTTTCACTCACATCCATGGCTGTATGACCCAAAACACATCACTACTTGGAATTCTCATCACTACAAGCTACTCAAGTCAAAATATATTGACTTTTATCTCTACTTACACAGTATTTGCCAGAATTAGCAGCTTGTGAAATACCTACAAAGAGATATCCCTATCTATAAATTTCAAATATAAAGATAAAATAGTTTTTGACTTTAATTTACATTCAGCACATGTTTTAATGCCAGCTGCTCCTTTCAATTTTTTAGACTTAGACACACTTTGTCATTTTGTATAAACAGTGAATACAAGACGAAATTTCAATACATAGAACTTTTCAACAGTGAATAAGTAGCTTAGCAGTGAAATGAACATTTCCATTTAAAAAGCGCAGTCGTGATCAAAGTGTGCACAGTGTAGGAGAGACATGGTGCAAAAGGCATTAATGTAGAAGGTTCAGAGCAGTGCTAAAATAAATAAATAGATATGGTGCCAAATGCTGTAGAAACACTGAGTTGAGTTCTATTTTGAAGATTCACCATGTAGTGCAAGTATGTTTACAGTGTGATGCAGAATCTCGAGTTTTGATTTAATTAGATTATCCACAGTTTAACAGTCAATTTTACACCCAACCCCACCCAGGTTAAAAAGTAGGGGAAAAAAAGAGAAGCTCCAGGAAACTGGGTGTATCAGGAATGACTGCAGGTATGAACAACCTCTCAAACAAAACTGATGTGCTGACTGACTGTGTAATATAACTGCCTATAACTACAACTGATATGGGGATTAGACTGGTCTGACTGGGTGTTCTACTATCCCCAGAGACAATCTCAGCATATTAGTGTGACATGGAACAGACTGTTTTTTTTTTTCTTGTTATATAATCTGTATGTAGCTAGACTGATGCTTTTATAGATGGATCAGTCAGAGGCTGGTAACCTGGAGAATGAATGTAGGTAAAGCATTTTGGGGCAGGACTCCAGAACAAGAGAGCAAAAGGCTTGGATGGAGC